ATTTGCGCGACAATAAGCGTGGAGCGACAGGCTGACGACAGAGGATTTGCCATGCCAATTTAGAGGGGGCAGGGAGGAGAGAGCGAGAGTGGCTGACATTCAAATCTGGTATGGGTCATGAAAACATTGAACAATCCTCCAGCTACTTCATAACTTCAACCAAAATAAGAACGGATTTCAGGACAGAGTCTTTCATTTCAATTTGAGGACGTAATTATTTTGTGATCACTTCCAACTTCTCCTCTTCAATCAGGAATATTCAAGCCAACTTGGCATGCCTTCTTAGAGAGACAATGTGAAGTGAAATTTGTGCAGGCAACACTAAAACAAACATGAACACAAGCAATTGATACCCAGCATATAAAGAATATTGATGGACAATGGACAATGGACAAAAATAGATGGGCAAGAATATTATTATAAGAAAAAAGCCAACAAAGATAAATAGAAATACAGAGGATAACATGCAAGCAAGCCTAGGCAAAAAAGGGACTGAAGATTACCCTGAAGATGATCTTCAAGAGAGTGGGCGGGGCACGAGGTGGGGTCGAAGGAGTGAGACACAACGACAGCCAGAACAAAAATGAAATCATTACAAAAATGATGTGGCAATTGGCCGCAACACTTGTCTCAGCACATTCAATTATGTCTCTCACACCATTACAACACCCCACTGTGACCCTAATCATGAGAAACAGAATTAGGTTCAGCTCACAGTAGCAACACCTTGCATGCTGTCTTACACCGCTCCTGGAATGCTTTCTGCTTCCTTCATCAATGTCGAGTTCGTTTGCCCCTGCCCTATCCTTGGTCCCCATATTTTGGGCTGCCATAGAGGTGGGGGTGCTGGGTCAAATGTGTACTTGGTTAAAAAATCAGATAGGGGGGAAACCATCCCCCCACCCCCTCCCACACCTTAAAAACAGCTCTTTGTTATAAAACAGAGTGCTAAATACTGTTATTTTATAGATGTATGAAATCATTTTGATGGAACAACTGCATTATAGGGTATAGATGTAAGAACCCCTTTGCTAACATGGTTGCATAATGTAACATCCATTTCGTTTAAAGCTTTTTCATCCTTAAAATGGATACCCGAGGCCTACTTTTGATTGGTTTTCTAAAGAGCCTAGAAGACTGACCAAATAGAAACAGTAGAGGCCTCATAAATAATATTGTCATCATTATCAATACAATCTCCCTTTTGTTGGGGGGGGGGGGGGGGTGTGAACTGTTCCTGGTGTACGCGTCTTCTCAAGCCAGTGCAGCCAAGATGAAGCAGTGGAACGGGGTGAAAAGTATTCTAGGTACCTTCTAAATTCTTCCTTGATACTTTCAATTTAATAGACCCTACAACACCTCCTAGATTAGCTCCTGTCTGACCTAATTGTCAGGTTGTGTCTTCTAGAAATAGCTTAGTCTGTCTCGTAGCTATCACCTGTTGGTTCCCTACTGCTTCCTCTGGCTGTTTTGAAAGCTCATTCCAAGTGTAGATACATTGTATCGTCCGTTGAGAGCTCGAGGGATGTTAAATCTGTGTTAAAAGTATAAGTGATAATGCCCTTCTGGCTCCGAACAGATGTTAACTCGCATACCTTTATATACAATTAACATGCTTCTGACTCTCAGCAGATGATATTGTCTCTTTAAAGCCAGAAGGACGTTTATTCCGTGCTTGTTGAAGTAAATAAGTTAACGCCCTTCTGCTCCAAACAGATTATATGTAGCAGTACCTAGGTAATCTCAAAGAAGATTGAAAGACTTCATGAAAATACCACTTTTCAAAAAAAGAATCTTAAACCAAAGAAGACTTCAGAACTTCAGAACTTCATTCATAAGAGTAAAAGAACTCCCCTTGGTGTATTATTAGAAAGTGGGAATTTGAATACCGGGAAAGAAAAAAATGAAATACTACCAACTTTTTTCTGTTGGACTAATCAGACTTATAAAGCTCATCACAGAGCAGTAGTTCGATAGACAATGAATAGTAATCCAGTCTGTATTATCAGATATAGATGGCTTCTACGTCTGGTTAAGAAGGTGACTCAAAAACTAGGCCTGCTAAAAAAGAAAACTGTGTCTAAATCATAGGTCAGATTTATGACTAGTGTTTATATTTGAATGCGATCTTTGTACATGTAGTTCTAATTCTGCTTAGATTGCAAATAAAGGAATAACATGTGTGCACCTAAAAGAAATCTTTCAATTATATATTATCTGCTGATCGAAAGCCAAAAGGGCAATAACTCATCTCATTTTTAGTAGAGTTACTGCTCTTCTAGCTTGAAGCGGATGATGATATAGAGGGGTAAGTTTTATTCTTTTTGTATAATCCTCCGACCAACGCAACACCATCACCCCTTAGCCAGCTTAATATAGCAAGTCTTTTTTCAGATTATGTTTTAACTCCAAATTGGTTCACCATGATCTGCAGGAAATTGAAAAATCTTTCTGATAAACTAAATTCTTCCTTGAATTTGGGTGAACTATTCCGGCACAGATGGAAAACTTGTCTCTAAACAGTCCTACGTGTGTGTCAGCTGCACCTCGCCCCAGCCTGATTTTTGGTGGCCAATTCTTGTGATTAACCACCCAAATATCGCAATTGCTCGGTGCGTCATCTGCAAATTAATTTAGCCGCTGTTTAGCGTTTGGACTCCCCCGACTGGCCTTGGAAAGAGAGCTACATCCTCCCAAATAATGTCTTTTCCTCCCATCTCTCTTCCAGCTCCGAGGGGAGTTGGAAAAAGTGGAATTCTGTCATTTAAAGTTGTACTTCCCAGATTGTGTGCCCATGTAAAAAGGATTGTAAATTCATGATGGGATTTTGAGTATGTGACCTATTAAAAAACACTATAAATTTGATATAATCTATTTCATAGAGTATTTACTGTTAGCTACATGATTGTCTACTTCTTTAAACTGGGAGAACCAGAAACCTTCAATAGAGATAGTTCCTTAACCTATTTTCTCAACTTCAAAAACAAGCTACTGACAAATATTGAAAAAGTTAATTTAATGAGGAGAAAAATCTTGAAAAAGGTCTTGCTCAACCTGATCCTTGCCCTATGAGACAACCCCGCCCTGCATTCCATCTCTTAAGCCACTGTCTGTATTAATAAAGCACTGGTACTTAGACTTAAGTCCTATAATCCCACACTGTCACTATCACAAGCAACTGCCCACCTGTAACAAAGAAAAATACACCCAAACAGCCCAGAAGCAAAGTATAATCCAACTGGCAAAATAGAAAGGAACTGCCCTCGAGTTAGGTCTGGGGTTCTCTGAAAACATTGGAACTGGGATGGGGACGAGTAGAGACAAGAGGAAGGAGGAAAATGAGGAGCAAAGAAGGAGAGAGAGATGGAAAGATAGTAAGGAAGAGCAAACAACAAGAGGAAGATAGTGAAAGAGAAAAGCAGTGATATAAATGGAGAAATAGAAAGATAGAAAATAGAAACCTAGAGAAAAAAAAGAAATGAGATATAGATGGAAGCGGAGAGAGAGAGAGAGAGAGAGAGAGAGAGAGAGACAAGGCAGAGGGTAGATAAAAAGAAGTAGATAAAGCTTGTGAGAGATGAAAAAGACTGCAAAGGGTATACTAATGAATAGGGAGTGGATAAGGTGTGGTGTTTACAAAGGAGACATAACATTATCAATAACTCTACCAAATCCCACAAAAATTGGGCACGCACCCCCCCCCCCCCCCCTCTTCCTCTTCTCCATCCCTTCACAATGATGGTGTAGGGGTGTGGAGAATGGGAGGCATAGAGCAGAAAAAGGAAGGAAGATGAGAAGGAGAGACATAATAAACTCCAGTATGTTTGCATTCCTTTGTCATGTCCTTCAAAGATCTGTCACTATCCTCACCAGTTGTAGCGCCCAAGGATGGGTGAGGGGTACTTCAAAACATGGGGGATAAACTCTGTCGGACTTGACTCTGGGCGATACTTTTGTTACAGTAGTCAAGACGCAGAGCGCTGTTCTAACCTTCAGCCATCGTAGAGTCCTTCAAAACCCAAACCGAGAAGGCTTCTTGTACGTTTTAGGCACCAACTGGTCTTTGATTTACTACCCAAATCTTTTTATAATTCTTTAATGATGGAAAAAGATTATATGATGATAGAAAAAGAAGGAAACTTTGTGAGAGATATTTCTTCAGAAACCCAATGCTGGTTTGCTGTATACCTAAATGCATCAATCATGGGCAAATTATTTTGAAGTTGTGCATAGTATACATCAAGGTGAAAGCAGATATGTTTTCAGATGTTACTATGACGGACATCATCGCCATTAACAGTGGCATTCCGATGGACTAATTGATAGGTCAGTCTGGTTAACAAGATTAGTCAGTAAATGAGGGATGCGTGATGGCGAGTATCGAGGGATGGGTTACCGGACAAACAATTCTATTTTTTCTCCCATTTTTTTCTCCTCCTCCTCCGTCCGTCCGGAAAGCACGCCAACACCCTGTGTTCACCTACAGCACATGCTGCGATGATGGATATGTTTATGGTGATTCGGACAAAAAAAAGAATCCTCTGACAGGGAGATGGAACTGTATAGAACTTTTGACAGTTTGGAAATCAATGATATAGATGTGTCAACATAGAAACAAAGTGCCCTTCTGAGAATTCGGATGATGTTAATAGGGAATGATGATGATGATGACGAGGACAATGATGATGATGATGATGATACAATACAATACAATACAATAAAGTCATTTCTATAGCACTCTTACAAACTAACTGGTGTTTCACAGCGCTTTAATAAATATTATTAAAGAAGTTGTTGATCATGGTCAAAGAGGAGAGTTTTGAGACATTTCTTGAAGACATCCAGCAAGGTGATGGACGAATAAAACGTGGATGATGATGATGACGACGACGGCGACGATGATGATGGTGGAGGTGATGATGATGATGGTGATAATCACAATGTCAAATAGTCATGGAACCGTTTCCATGGAAACCACATTCAAGAAATTAATTTCTTACCTTTGCTCTCTCTAATCTCTGTCTTTGTTCATGGAATGCTGGCGTTGTGGCTTTGAGGGCTGTTCAAAAATAAATTGATAAGATTCATAAAATGTTAATTCTTATGAAGCAATTCAACATCCTCATAAATACAGTAAGTACTCTTAAAAAGGAAATAATGGTGGTTTATCATTCATACCTTCATATCAATTAATTTTGAAAAGTTAAGAGGTACATGTTTAATACAGGCATGAACATCAATCATTTAATATCAAACAATATGATTGGTTTAACATAAACTGTTTTGTTAACAATACATTACATGGATAAGCTTTACAGATATTGTTTATATTTTTATTCTAAAAGCAGTTTTGTCATCGCTATTTACAAGCTAGCATAATCAGTTTGATCATTGGGCTGCATCCATTCTATAACTCACTTTCCTCCGGTATCTGGAGATGAAGGCTGATCTTAAAATCCATCACAAGCAAGAGAGGTGGGATGGGCAGCCATTAAACCATGAGGTAATCCAATAATACGGTATCCTCAAAGAGAACACAACCAACAAGGTCCATGGAATTAAATCGGCCGTCTCAAAACTTCAATAAAAACTAAGATGACACCAACAGCCATCAAAAGAAAGATAGGGGCAGATGATTGGCAATCGCAATGGTATATTCCAAGGATGTTCTTAAAAATACACCTTTAAAGTCATCCTACAAACTCTAAATCATGAACAAGGTATTCCACTCCTGATAAGTCGTCTATTGAACTTTGATTATCAATGAACCGAAAGTGCCATCCGCCATCAAAGTTAAGAAAACTTTTTGAATTTTAATCCAGGATATACCAACAGCTATCGATGAGGTGCTTGAATCTCAAGGCATATAGTTTGTACAAGGGGTGAAGGAGTCATCCAAAAGCAACTAATTGGCATCAACAGGAACAAAATGGTAGTATCCTTCTCTTCTAGTCCATATCATGTGGTGGAGAACATTTCCAAAAGACTTCTTATCCTCAATAAATAACCAAGAGCAAAACCACTGGCTGCAAGTGGTGGAGGTGTGGGGTTGGTAGAAGGAGTTTTTGGGTGGTGCCGGTGGTTGGTGGTGGTAGTAGTGGTATAGACTCTCCTCAACAAGACAACTCTTCTAGCTGAGGCTACATCTTGGAGGAGAATGCAGGAAGATTCTTCCGAGATGTAAAGTGATGCAAGTTAAGAAGGAGAAAAAAGAGAAAGGTAGAGATGCAGATGCCAGGAAGATTCATTACCAGGGAAAGTGGTGTGGGGGCGCAGATGAGAGGGGTACGAGGGGGGCGGAAGAGGGTAACAGAGAATGCCACTGGATTCTTTGCGGAGGGTTAATGATGGTTGGGGTAATGAGAGGAGGGGGAAGAAGATACAAAATATGCAGAGCGACGAGGGGAGAGAGGAGGCAAAATAATAGAAGGGGAGATTCCTTGCAGATGGTAAGTGATGCGGGGGTTCGGAGGAGAGAGAGAGAGACGAAGATAGAGGTCGAGATGCCAAAGAGTGCATCATCATCATCATCATGATATCATAGCTGGAGTCATTAATATCAGGCTATTATTTATCATCTGGAGTGATGGCTGGGAGGAGTGCAAACAACTAGGCCACAGAGAGAGAGAGAGAGAGAGAGACAGAGAGAGAGAGAGAGAGACAGAGAGAGAGAGAGAGAGAGAGAGAGAGAGAGAGAGAGAGAGGAGAGAGAGAAAAGCACATACATACATAGCAAGAGAGAAAGTGAGATAGATGAAATGGATAGACAATTAGTTTAATGAACTTTTCAAGCATGTGCTTAAGAGAGTGATACAGGAATGTTAGACGAGGCAAAACTTTCTGTAGCTTTTGGACGAGTAGAAGTAGCATTGGCATCTGTTTGTATGACTGCCAAAGTTTACCATGACCAGATACCAAAGCATTATATGGATTACGTAAAACTGCATTTATGAGCATGAAGTAATATCGGGAGAGTTTGTCAAGAAAAGAAAGACAGAGATGTTCAAGGTTTGAGATGACCCAATCAAGTGAATATAGTGAAATAAAAACAATTTTGTTTTGTTGTTGTTGTTGTTGTTGTCGAAAGAGAAGAATTGAAAAGATGCTGTAAGGAAGAAGGTATGAGAGAGGAAGAGCTGGTAGTATGCTGGAGAGAGAGAGAGAGAGAGAGAGAGAGAGAGAGAGAGAGAGAGAGAGAGAGCTGCAAGATGATGTAGAATTGCAATGATGAGATGTGAAAGGCAATGAAGTGGGATTGAGAAGTAAATGAAGTAACATGAATGAAGGGGGAGTGAAGGGGGAGGGAAAGGGGCAAGGGCTCAGACATGTCTATGGTATGCATGTTCTTCTGTGACATCACGTGAGAGGGCAGGAGGGGGGGGGGAGGGGTCGTGAGCTAGTAGCTAAGGACATGGACTTGACTTCTTGCTACCTCGCAATGTGACGTCATCCTGAGAGACCTACAAGTATGACATCAATGCTGTCTACCAGAGATATCTTAAATATTGGAAAGACTGATGGGTAGGCACAGATTGAGGGAACGTAATAGATGAATCTAGAATGAATGAAAGAGACAGAGATGGAGAAAGAATCCGAGGGGTGTGATATACTTCAAGCAGATATCAGACAGCTATTTACAAAAATAATGATACAAATCACGTAGGAAACCGAAAGGGAATGCAGAGAGCTAGCGCTGATGAGGGATGAGCGGTGACGTCAAATGTCAAGTATTCTGCTTGCCTCTCCAAGACTCAAGCACCAGGGTTTGGTGAGGGGTAAACAGCGTGGGCTCAAATTCCCTTGATGAATTATGATACATGTAGGAGTTTTAAGACCTATTACATATCCAGGTCTTTCAAAGAGTCATACAAACAAAGACGAGGTGTAAACTTAAACGATGTTTGATATCAAGTTTTTAATAGATTTCTTTCCCCCATGTTCCCTCGGTAGTTCCAAGTAATGATTATCCTCACAAACATTTAAGTTGAAATGGAAATTTTGAAGGGGTAATTAAAGATTGCCATGCAGTATATCACAATGAAAGTGAAAATCTGAGATACATGGAGAGAGAGAGAGAGAGAGAGAGAGACAGAGAGATAGAGAGAGAGAGAGAAAGAGAGAGAGAGAGAGGGAGAGAGAGAGAGAGAAAGAGAGAGAGAGAGAGAGATGGACAGATAGAGTAGGATGGAGAGAAAGTAAGTAAGTGGTTCAGAGATGAAAATGAGCATCTGAGCTACCTAACCCATCTTCAGGATCTCATAACAATGTCTGGAATGTAGCTCTCTAGATGACGTCACAGGCACACAACGGAAAACTGAGCTTCCTCTAATGATAGCGTCACCACCAGTCACCTATACTACCCCTCCCCTATCATACCATCACAAATGGTCTCCTTCACCCCTCCCCCATGAATTTCAGTCTTCTACCACCCCAGTGCGCCCTCCCCACCATAGTATCACCAAGGGTCTTCCAATACCCCTCCCTATGACACCATCACCACCAGTCATCTATATCACCCCCTCCCCTTCCATTGTAGCATTATCAATAGTTGGCTACCACCACCCCTCCCTTATCAACACCAGTCTTCTTCTACAACTCCTTCTCTTCTCATTTCCATTGCCATCACCACTGGTTTTATACCACCCCTCCCCACCATAGTATCACCCCCAGTCTAATACTATACCCCTCCCTATCATAGCATTATTAATAGTCTTCTAACACTCCTTCCCCATCACTTCTGGGGGGTGTTTCACAAAGATCCTAAGTTGAACTTATCTCTAAGTTGGACTTAACAATTATGGAAAGCCGTTAGCATCTTTAAAATATTTTGTAAAATCTATTTTAAAAGGCATAAAATGTTGATTCAAATCATTCACATTTTCTATTATCAAGGAGATTTCATGTGCTTAATGTGGAATTTATGAAAAATCTGAAATACTTGATTTTTTTTGCTTCTGAATATATGTTATTTGAAGGCTACAAATGGCTCTCCATAAGTTTGACTTAGGATCTTGGTGAAACACCCCCTGGTCTTTGAGCACCCCTCCCTAACATAAAGGATTAACTCATTGCTGAAGAATGCCACATATCTATGGATGCAAGCTGACAGGATGGTCTGAACATGCGTAATCTTGTTACGTGGTGATTATGTCATCACCTCAATATAGGTCATAGTAAGCTACTTCAAGCTTGAAAAGTGTGTAACGTTTTCATAAGGCATCAAGGAATGGCTGCACAATTAGGATATTTGGTTATTCCTTCTGATTATGATACAGAGACTAAACTTATAGATTTTCTGGTCAGCACTGTAAAAAACGTCCCCCTTTTGATACAAACCAACAAAACCAAATCAATAAGAGTCAAAATGGATTCAGACCCATTTCTTTCTCATAGCTGGTACAAGATGGATCAATATAGCGCTTTAATGGTGGCATTCAACAATTATTATAGATTCTTTTACACAAAAGTAGGATTTTCCTGGACTACATGTACATTTAACCGGCAACAGGATCAACTCCTGATAAACTTCTAATCAGCACGATTTCCCTAAAAACCTAACCTCTGCTACCACTGCCTGGCTCAAATATCTGAAGGGGGGAGAGGGAGGGAGGGGGGGTGGTTGTAATCATAGACATATCAAGAGTTGTCGAGACGACGATGTAACAATCAGCGAGACGGAATTCGTAGCCGATTCCATCCACAGAGAAGGTGCTAATCCCAAACAGTCTGCCCGACAGCGACAAAAATTCCTGCCAAAAAATGCCACCAATACATCATCATGCTACTAAATGTCTTTCCTGAAAAATGACATTTAGTGGGGCCTCTGATTACAGAATGCATTCCTGTATATATATATATATGTCAGTGTATCTATTTTCCCCTGTATATGTCTCTATGTCTCCTATTCTCTTATCTTACTTGAAATCAGGTTTATAAATGTTTAAAACAATTAAAAAAGAAATGTGTGCCATAAGCGTGTTTAGGGCGTCTTCCTGTGAAGTGCTTCCTTGAAAATTATTTTTACATTTTCCGAGTAACCCTGCTATAATCGTGACACAAGTACAAGCAAAACATGTCTCGTATTTATACACTACCTTGACGATTGATAGGTTGCGTGGTGCCTTTGAGTGACATTTTGATGGCCAAAATTAGAAATGACCAATCCCATGGTGGTGTATTTGTGTTGATTGCACATACCGTATGCAGCATGGGAAGACTGGTAGGAAAGCTAAATACTACGACTTGGCAATGAAAGGGAAGAGAGAGTGATTGTGACAAGATATTTGATGTGTTGATGGTGGTTTGATGGACAGTTGTAAAAGTGAATATCAACTATTAAACAACTGTCATATAAAGATCCCTTTTAGATGTTCAGATAACCTCTGACCTTTTCAAAGTTGTCTTCCTTAGATATGAAACTACTGGGTTACATAATAAGTAGCTTATCTTTTCCCATCCTTTATGGAGTAAGAATATATCATTAATGGATTAATTGTTAATATGTTGCTCTTGGATTCGAAGATATAGAAATATGACTTTACTACTACCAAGCTACTTATCAGGTATTGAAGAGGAACCATAATCAGCTAGATGCATTTCTGATAATGGCCTGCATTTGTTTTAAGACAGCATGCACCATCTGCCCCCCACCCTTCTGTTCTTGAGGGAGTATACATCTAAAGTACAATGTGACACATATCTCTCTCTCTCTATGGCAATATTAATTAAATTTGTTTTGATGTCTGATATACATGTTTGGACTTACACTAGCCAAAACAACATGACTTACAGTCAACGATATGTAGACTACACATTGCCCAAAACTTCCATTTCTCCAAAGATATGTAGGAGAGAGAGGGGGAGGGGTGGTGAAGGGGAAGGGGGAGGGGTAGTCATTGGGGCAGAGGGGTTCTTTCCTAAGAAGACAGAGGTGGTACTGTACCATGCATGTGTGTATCCCATCCATCACAGAACCAGCCCTTGACACTCTCGGTACAGGTGGCAATATGGACACGCGATGGCCAACGCATCGCCCCACGAACATCGCCCTCTAATTGGCGATGACAACCCATACAATGATGCCTTTTCTCTGCCCCTAATCCGCTCGCTTCCTCTTTCCATTCTAAACAAACTTTTAACAGATTTATCCTTGTATTTGCCGGTATTTTGGGCTGTTTTATCTATTTTGGATGCATGAATTTCATCCATAGGATTCAAATTTGAAACCAACAGGATCTTTTCCCTCTAAATCTCGTCTTTCCTGCCCATCATACCGAATCCGAGGATTTGTAAAACTACCCAAACGGAGATAGAGCTTTTCCACCTTCATCCAACCCCTCCCAACAACATTTCTTCAAATCTTAAAATATATTCATAGAATTTTAGACACACAGTTGTTTTCTATGGTAGGAGGGTGCTCTTTCTACTACTTTAGACTTCAACCCTGCATATTAAACCATAAAGAGACTCAAGTACTTTCAAATAGTTTCTTTCATATAAAATGAACAAACTAGGAAATAAATTTATACAGCATACTTTATTTTCACTTCTTTATGTTTATTTTAACTCTACATTTTAAATACAAATCAAAGTCAGTTTCAAAGTCAGTTTCAAACTTCAATTTTTACACAAAGAGGTTATCGATTGCAATGCACATTATGGGTTAACATTTTTAGTGTTGTGTGTGTGGGGGGGGGGGGGGGGGGCACTAAAATTTACAATAGCAGACTGCATTGTGACAGAGAGGATCCAAGGGTAGTGTGATGTAGTGTGGATGAAACATCTAGAGTGGTGAGGGGGTAAAGGAGGGGGGTAAAGGGGGGAAAAGGAGGGGGATACAATAGCAGACTGTGTTGTGACAGAGCCGATCCGTGGGTTTAGTGCAATGTTGTGTGGACTGTCACTGTGAGTAAAGCCAGGTCAATGTCAAGGTCGAGCTGATGATTTCTTTACCAGACTACCGTCCTACTGGTCTTAACTCCAACTTGGATCGCATCACGTCAATGTAGAACCAAACAGGTGTATGGTGCTCTCTACCAATTATATCCAAAGAAACCCTCTCGGGATATGAGTAAAATTAGTGATTTTTCAATTTAAACTATCTTTTAATTCTTTGTATGATATTTTTCATCTGACTCTTAAATGTTGTCTTCTTTGTTTACTAAAAATGCTGTTCCGGTATTCCTCTCCACCAAAATCTAGACCAAAGTACATTGTCTTAAAAATCATCTGTTTGGCACTAAAAGGTCATTAGCTCTGTGTCAAAGTACATTATGAGTTTACTCTCTTCAATAGTAATAATAATAATAAAAACGGTACTTATGTAGCGGAGATGAAATGCTAATATGTACTAACAGAATAATTATCTACAAAGTACATTTGTTTTATACCACTTCTATTCAAACTGATCGCCATTCTCTTTGACTTAATTGGTAGTTTTTATTTTTAATCAAATTTTCTAAATCTCTTTAGACGATAAGATGAGAAATTATGATGTGTACTTACGGGGCATGATGCCTTGGCTAACTAGCTCTTCTCGTGGTCTTCTTAACTTGAGACGGAGGGCCAGCACTGCAGATTGGAAAGAAAAAACAAGAAAGAAAGATAATAAATAAATGGCTCAAATCAGAAAATAGAGAGTATGAAATTAGAAGTACATGAAAAAGAACTTTGATAGTGAACAAAAATATGAAACATTTTGATATGAATCCAACACAGATGAATGGTGACAAAATATTAATAATATCATATTATATATTATCTAAAAAATAGAGAATACATTAATTACATTGTCACTATCAAGATGTCCACTCCTGTAGCTCCAGAATGTCACTGATGGACAGTGAACACTAAACAGCATTAAAAAAAATTCAAATTTGAAGGAAAAAATGAACACTAAACAGCATTAAAAAAAATTCAAATTTGAAGGAAAAAATGAATAGAGACAAAGATCCAACAGAACCAGATAGCACTTTAGAAAGACTCCAAACAGAAAGAGAAAGGGACAGTGAGTGAAAAATGGAGAGTACATCAAAGAGAAAGGGGGTTACTATAATTGAGTCGACATTATAGGTTAATTTTTGCGTTTGTTGGCACCCCACGGCCAGGTCTCTTCTTTCCTCGCTGTCTCCCGGGTTTCAATGCCACATTCAGTTAGGAGCGAGAAGGACAAGCAAGCTGCAACGCGTGCCTGCCGCAGCAGTAAAATAGAAGACGTGGGCGAAGCCAACGCCACAACAAACACTCCTCGGCAGAAGATAATGGAGAAAGAAAGAGAGAGGAGAGGCATTGGTAGAAACTCTGCAAAAACATTGGAGAGGTTAATTTAAAGTTTTGATTGAAAAATTGGGAAGGTTAAGGGTTGGCACGCGCTTGGGTGAAACTGGAGAGGAAGCGTCGGATCGAGGAGAGGTGTAAAATAGGGACGCGGCTGGGTGCTAAGATGCGGGTGGATAAGGTAGCAGTGGATGGGAGAAAGGATACTGGTATTAGTAAAAGGGCATGATTAAGGTAAAAGGTGATAGTTTAACGTCCTTTCCAAGGCTGTCAGCCAAAGGGCAAGAGATGGAGCAGTATGCTGCAGATGGGCTATAAATAAAATGTAACAAGAGTTGCAGGAAAATGAAGCATCGAACAATGGCAACCTGATAATACGATAATCACAGTTATACATTCTAGGAATATGGCCTGAAATAAAACCTCACTCTTTAATGTCTTTCACAAATGAAAAGTGAAAATATATCTGTATATCAATACAAAAAGCCATTGCAGAGGTCTTTGAAGATGGAATCTTAACAAATGCTTGGATGAACAAATTTATGGAAAACCAGAAGAAGTGTCAAAGAGGATGTAGAGCAGATGTGTGTAAGAAAAAGATCACTAGTAGCTATGCATTTGCTATACGGTGGCATGTCGAGGGTCAAAATGAATGATAAAAGAGATTTATCATCATATCATAATCTTCCAGTGATTCCATCTCAGGTTTCATATTTCGTAACCCAAGCTGACCTCAGACCAAACTTACTCCTTACCCCGTTTGCCCTCTACCAATTAAAAGTCTTCCACGCTTGGATCACGACTGGGGGCCTGCCCTATTCAAGCCTCGTTAAAACCGTCCTGTCAAAACAGTTATGATAGGCAATGGAGCCAATGGAAATGAAGCGTAGGAAATAGTGATTTATATCTGCTAAGAGTAGAACTAAGAGCTGAATTTATAGTAGGGGGGCTGGAGGAGGCATAAGGGGGTCAGGTCTGGGGACGGAAGAGGGGTAAAGGTAAAGGGGTAAACTGGTAGAGGTCTGGTAGCCCCTTGGTAGAATCAAAGAGATCACAACCTAAAGACATCTCAGCTCATGATTCACAGAAGATGATTTGTTTCTGGCTTTCTGCTTGTGATGGTATAGCCAAGGATAGTACCAGGGACTCACTTTTAGGACAACGTGCATGAGTGAGGAAAGTGGAAGGGCTGACATCAATATGTCCTCTCTTACTTCAACCAGTGGAGACAACAGGTCAAGACTGGACAATTACTAGTCTAAGTGCAGACCTTCACATAGTATTTCTAATTTAGTCAGAGACTCAGTGTTCTCAGTTCGAGTTCGAGTGGGGGGGACAATTTTTTTTTGATGTGATACCGAGGATAGGGTATTTTCCTTTGTAACATTTTTAAGAAGAGTGCAATATCAAACAACGATCATTCTGAAAGAAAAGAATCCACAAAGACAATTACATCAAATCTATGATTGATTCATTCAAAGACTTGGTGGAAAGACTAGGATTCAGAGTCCGTTAAACTCTTTACCCCATCATGGGGAGACGGAGAATGGTATCAGCTCTCTGATTGGCCGGAGGGGAAACCCAAGTCGGCCAAATCAGCTGGTTGCCACGAGCGGCCCAGCGGGGCTAGTGACGTGACCAATCAGCTTGAATACTCCGACAGTTGCCCTGTCCTTGTCTGGTCCAGGAAGCAACAAGTAAGCTGTAGCCTCAGACTCAGTCAGAGGATGATAGCTACGACTTCTCATCAAACTTTGGTCTCGGTCATCACCATCAACACTGGGTGATCAAAGCTCATATTGGTAGAATATCACTTCTGGGGCCCGTTTCACGAAGCCTTTTTTCAATGACAAATGACAAAAATCAGTGACAAATCTGCTAATAACCAATCAGAAGCAAGGATTTCAGTAGCTTATAACAAAAACTGTCATTTGTCACTAATGACAAGTTTTGTGAAACACCCACCAGATCTTCATAATTCTGGAAAGGAGACTTCTTGAAGTATTCGGCCAACACAAACTTACTCACAATATGCTCTATGATTACAATAAACTTTATTTTGTGGCCAACCTGAAAATCATCCTGATAATCTTAACTGCAAGATATCGTCTTGAAGGTAAAGGACAATCAGATGATTCATTGTAACAAGGAGTTATCACAAAGTACATCTATGCAAATCACTTGCTTTTCACCTAACATTTCACTTTATTTTCTTCTTTTTTTAATGAAAAAAAAATATCCAAAACAATCTACAACCATGAAACTTGCAAAGCACTTTAATATTGGTAAACAGGAGGGAAAAACAAATTTCTACAGGTTTTCATCAAGCTAGGAGATGGAAAATTCTGATATGAAAATTGTTTGTCAAATATTTGGAAATCGTCTTTCATCTTGCTGCTAAACACATGTCATTACTGACATGCTCAGTGGGGGTTATACAGCTTCATCTAGTCCAGAGCTAATCCATTGTCAAATGGGGCTAAACATTGCCAGAACGACTTCTTCCAAGCACCATTACCAAAAGAGAAAGAAACCAAAGGGACCTTTTTCTATGTGTTTACTTACAATGGTAGTATGAAAATTGAAGGATTCCATTCAAATATTTTGACAGCAGAGAAGTTGATCTGTGGGTTAGTCTTCAGAAATATAACCATTGCAGCTAACTTAGCCTAGGGAATAGACCTTGTAATCTACATGGATTATAAAATTCATTCTGAAATGGTTGCAGCACATATTTTAAAGAAGTAGCTCACTTCATGACCAAGTACTGCTTTAAGTTAAATAGATAGAAACAAATGACCGCAAGGAACCTGTATCCGATCACTTGGCCCTTAACAAGGTATTGGAGACCAAGACTATAGAAGGGGGACCTACTGGGAGCTGAAGACTCAAGGGGCTAGACCCTTTGAATCAAGGTGGGTTACTCTCCTTTACCTCTCTCATCACTCACTGCCAAATTGAGTCCTCCGCCCGACTTCGATCCTGATTGGACCCCCTTTCGAAGAAAATATCCAATTTAGAATGGAAATCTAGACATCTCGTGATATAATCTGACACTCACATACAAGATATGGAGTCTTTCTGCACAGATATTATTGTGGAAGATTGTTGTCATGACAATACTAAGGAGGGTAATGTGGGTGATGAGGATGACGGTAATGATGATGACAGTGATGATGATAGTGTTGGTGGCGCTGCTGCTGATAATGATGATAAGGGTGGTGGTGGTAGTAGATGCTGATGGCAACAATCACCATCAACAGAGATAATTGCAAAGTGAAAGAAGGTACCTGCCCATTTTTTCAAAACCTAACCTGACAATACCAATCAAACAGACGATAAGAATAATTGCACATACCAATTGTAATCTATAAATTGGATGCATCAATTGAATTCTATATTTGCTTCTCATCAGACCCATCCAATGTCAGTCCTATAATATTTACTCCTTCAAAATCATTTATTAAACAAACTGCTTCTTCTTCATGTTATGTACGGAGCAAGTTCTTTGTCACCCAGCCCTATCAGAGGAGGGCAATTTTCAGGATCCAAATTGGGGTGCTCTTGTATTTCACCCCCAATCCACCCTAATCGACTTGAATCTGGTTGACGAAACCCAAGACAAGTGAACTATACCACAAGATAATGTCTAAAATATGCACCCCAGACCAGTGGTAGAGGCATCGCTTCAAAAACTGGGCAGTAGAGAAAGTGAAAATATGCAGCAGGCAACCAAATATTTTTAGCTTTTATCACAGCCAGGATCTCATATGAAATAGATCAAGACTGGTAAGAAAATAGTCTGCACGAAGGCCGATCGTTTGCTCAACTTCAACATCTCGTGTGACAGTAATTTGGGAGGCATATGGAACTACTGCCGAAAATTCTTCAGCTTGAAAACCGCCAAGGACAAGTTGGAGAAGATAAAAAGAACTTGAACAAGAAAGACTAGAAGTTTATAAAACCCAAGGAGCGAAGAAGAGTTTGGAGGAAGGAAGCGCTGGAAGTAGGGCACCAGATCAACAAAGTAATGCTCAATTTCACGTTGTATAAAATGAATGCTCCAATGATTGGTCATTAAACACATTCCACCTACTTAGCAGAATAGTTAGGAGGGTAAGAAAAAAATGGCACGTGTCACTTTTTCTTCTCCTTAGTTAGATTTCTCTTTTACATGACCTCTATTTTCACCAATTATCCCAGTCGAACAAGGATGCAGCCCAAGGGCCTGAATCGCAGGCAGTAAACATAACCGCAGAAAGGAGGAGAAGAAAAAACCCTCCTCCACACACATGGGGCAGATAACGAAAGATGGACGCACAAGAACTGTGTTCACATTTTATAATAATGTCTCATGCATGAAATGTGTGAACGGGATTTGTTTTGGGGGATGCATCTCATATCAGAGGCAATGCAAGCACTGCTAGATTTATTCAAAGAACTTAATCAAAGAGAGCTT